ATCGGATCACTGGAAAGTGCTCCAGGTGTTCTGGCTGCTGCTGAATACACGCAAAAAATATTCGCAGTAAAAATTAAAAAGCAATTAATGTTTAAAAAAAATATGTTCAAATTTCTTCCTCTGCTTATGTATATTTTGGTTAATTTTATTTTCTCATTACCTTTTGTTAAAAACTGTATATTTTTCAAATATAATGAAAATATCTAAGTTATTACAAGCTAGGAAACTATTCATGAAGATTAGCTGCGTTTGTAAAAATAATACGTGCAATCAGGTTTTTATTGTCTTTATAATTTTCCGTTTTCCACATACTAATTATTCAAATTTGTATGTAAGTGGGATATAATTGAATTCTTATTTGAATATAGAGCACACTTTAAATTTTTTTCTGGCGCACCAGACATTAGAATAAAATCGATCGCGTCCACTCGGTCACTATTTCTGGAGCGAGTACTTCACTTAGCGGTTAAACCGTCTTGACGTACGTGTTTGATTTGCAATTCAAATTAGGAAGTATGAAAATAAATGGTTTGTTGGCGCTGCACAGGTGAATGGGCTGTTTTCGTTGCGCCAGCAGAGCTAACGAGGTCGTTCCTCTTCAACAGTTTCTGCTGCTGCCAGTAGACGTTTTCCGGAGCAGATGCGGGAGAAATGAATGCCCTTTTTTACTGTGCGTTCTGCCACGAAACGGTCCAATTTTGCTCCCGACCTTTTCAAAAGCGTTTCTTTTCCTTTCAACGAAAAGAGGTTTTCATTTGCATGTGTATGGAGAAGTTCACAAATTTATACAAAAATGTGGGCCGGCAAAGAAAAATTGCGTGTTAATGGTGAGATCCTTTGTGGAATTGAAAAGAAAAAATTATTTTCAAGAAGTAAATAATCTTATCATACAGGCATAGGAAAAATATTACATTATATTTTCATATTTTAGTCGGCAAGCTCATTGCATATTTTTCGAGAAATATTATCAAAAGAAAAATCCACAAGCCAATTAATTATCACACTAGCTTGGTCAAGGCATAAATCTTTAGTGAGTTCTTGCATTATCTGTCTCGCGTGCTACAAAGTCTTTGCTAAACAAAGGCAAGAAATCTAAAACGACACATGTGGGTAAAAATTTGTGATAAATTTCTTTGCTTTCCATTATCCAAGGTTTGTTGGTTTTATAAAAATAATTTTATTTATTACTTTTAAGCGGCCGATGGTTCCAGATAAAATTCAATAGTTTTAGTATCATTTTGCAAGTGAGAAAAAACTATTTTTATTGACCCGAATAAAAGCGACTGCCTGTTGCTATGCTAAAGCAAATGACCCTTTTCTTTAGACTCGAGCACCGGAATAATTTTGATCAGGCTAGTGATTCTGATTACCCCAAATATTATTCAAATAGAGCACGGTTTTGATGCGCATTGACTTGTGCCATAAATTTGGAATTAATGGTGCGTTGTAGTTCACAGTGTAATATTGAAAATTAAGCTCTTTATAATGAAATTTAATAGCTTTACGCAAACAAAACAAATTTATTCTGTTTGTGCTCGCAAAGTGCTTGCGTTTGCTTTTGCACAATTGAATGGATTTCATTAATAATAGCGAGCATGAGCCGAGTGCAATTTAATGTGGCGTCTGCCAATTTATCGTGCGTACGCGGCAACAATATTTACGCTGTGAAACAAACACACGGCCAGGTCAGCCGACCGATCGATTTGGCAATTTCCAAGCGCGTGCATTATGCACCTCTCTACGTGGCTAATCAGCGCCATAGTAACGAACTTCGTATGCATATTAATTAATCCATAGCTTCCTCTCACATCTCGTTAATTAATCAGCCTTTTTGTTCGTAGCCATTAATGTTCACTCGGCCAAGTTTAATTTTGCGCAGCAATTTTCAGCATGTGCGAACATATTCACCAGAACAGCATTAAATTTAAATAATATCTCTTTTTTTGAAGCTCTGCCGCTCTTACGTAATATTTTTGGGCGGAGAAGAGCCCGGTGATTTTTTTGTTTTTTAAAGAATCTTGAGCGCTACACGCAAAGAATTTTCTTTTTATTTTTCATGAAAGCCCACCGCTTCATTCTATACGTCTCTCTTGGCTCCATCTCAAAAAAATTAGTTTCTGAAAAGCAGAAGGCATCCATATTTAAGTCTCAAGAGGGAAATACATGCCAAAAGGCATTTTGCTTTTTCCTTTGACATTAATTTATGCTTTAAGGAAATTTAATTTTGACAAAAGCACAAACGTTTTTGTTTAAAGCTTCCTTGAAATTATATCATTATTAGGTCTTTGAATAATTATTTCTGGAATTTTGCTATGTTTCGCTCACTTCGTTTTTGTTGACGTAATAAGCAAAATTGCTACAGATACAAATGATAATGGACATTTTAGACTCAAAGCTATTTAAAAACATTATTAATGCATGACGTAAGCTACATAAAACTGCATAAACATTTATTGCAAAAGCTAAATTTAAAAATTAATTTAGAGAATTAGAAATATGCCTCTAATACTTTTTAAAAAAATTTTCAAAGAAGTTTTTGAAATGAAAACTAAAAAAAGTGATGTTCTTACAGATGCAAAAACAGATAAAATGGCAGTTCATTTTACAATTATATCGGTTTGTTTGAATCTTCATATTCAAACGTTGGTGACATCATTTTGTCTCTTAGAAGTACAAAAAATAATGTAGACACCATAAACGTTTAACTCCTCCGAATTTCCATAAGCAAAACACACGACAGTTGAAACACGAAACACGACAGATCCGTGCGAACATGCTGGTGGGAGGTAAAAACAATGCGCCTTGAGACTTGTCGTAATTACAAAGCGCCCACGGATTTATCAAAGGGTGCAATCGGCGGCTTATTTTTTATTATTACTCTCGTCAGCGAGAAAAACGGTTGGCAGACTGGAAATCAGAGCACGTGAGCCCCGCTCCCGGCACATATAAAGCCAAGTGTCACGCACGCCACAAAAAGGCTCCGTGCGCGCAGCCCTGGGGACTCATTTGAATTTAAGAGACGCCTTTATCGAGAGAGCGAGCCTTGTAATTCGGAGCGGCCCCTTCGCCAACATTCTGACGCGGGGCGCCCGAATTAAGTGTTAAAAATAGAGCAAGCCGCCTGCACGATCATTATGCTTAGGGCACCGGGTCAGTCTGCCCGAGTGAATTAATGTTTTTTTTTTACTCTTCGTCTTCGCGGTGACCGTGGGGAGGAAAGAAAAGGGGAAAAAGCAGCAGAAGAGATATATATATAAAAAGTAAAGCCGTGCGCTAGGGTAGTGTATGGGCCATTAGGGCATGCCATATTTCACGTAGTCCCTCTCGGACCCTCGAATTTTATTATCATTCTTTCTCGTCACGACTCATTACAAGAGCGGACAGACCTACTTTTGTCATAGAAATATGAACCCAAAATATATAGAGAACTTTAATCAGGCACGAGTGGAATACAAATTATTCGCAGGGTTGTTTTGTTGTGTCGGAGTGGCTTGTTTCCTTCTCTTTTTATATTCATTGTAGTGCTCACTTGTTATTGCAGAGTCAACAGCAATCATTATTACTTGGTTCAGCGACAACGGAAATCTCCATTCAGATAACAGCGGGCCGGTGGATTGGCGAAAGTTATTTGCCACATCACCAATCAATAATGCCAAAGTTTATTCACCCTGCCGCCTTATTTGCCGGTTGTTTTTATTTTTTTTCCGTATTATTTATTCCAAGGGTGCGACCCGTCTGGTGCGGAATCAATATGTATTGCGACTGGCAATTTACTTTGCTTTGGCGGTGTAATTTTGCGGCATTAATAATGTACAGGTCATCACCGCGGCCGTGATGGATGCGATGCGCCAATACAAACACTTTCCGTGACATAAGCAAATAAATGGTGAAAGTGGATTGCTTCCGGCTCGCCAAAAGTGAATTAATATATTATTTTGGTACTCCAAAAAGACGGAAGTTTATTTAAAAAAAAAAAAAAAAACTGTTGGTTTCGCGATTGCATAAAATATGAACGATCAATGTTAACAAGTAAAAATTCAAATATCATCAGATTATTATAATTGTATTTTAAAAATTATATAACTCGCAAAAATAATTTTAAAATATAAATAAATTTGGTGAAAAATGCAGCAAAAACACCCAAAACAAACCGCATCAAGTCTTTGAAAATATTCAATCCGACTGTAACAGAGCACAACAAAAATTTTGACAAGCAAGACTATTTAATATCATGCATCGTGTTTGACCTGTTGTGTGAGATAATAAACAAATTGAATTGAATTTTATACGCATTCAAATTCATCTTTTAAGAAAAAACTGACTCGTTTAAAATATAAAAAAAGGCTTTTTATGATAATGATCATAGAAAAGGGAGGTTTGTATGAAGAAGTTGACACTCAAAGAAATGATCATGGAAGTGAAGAAATCGGGCTTTTTCCTCGTTGTTTATTCAACAAAACAAAAGGGAGGGTTTTAATATTATTAAAAGTTTTAGTTTTGTGCTTCTTTAAAAAAATCTGCTGCTTTTTTTATGATAAATAAATCCTATCTCTGAATGGTTCCATTTGTCAATGAACTGATTTGAAACTATCAGCCATTCATGTCTCTCACTATAGGGTTAGAAGGAATAATAATATTCGACGGCAAATTTACATAATAATAAATCTGATAGAGTAATCGTAATAAGGAACATAAAATTAAAAAGTTTTCAATTTAAAAAATTCATTCCTCTCAAAAAAATTTACTATCTTTGAATTAAAAAAAAAATCAATAAATTATGTGTTGTATTGATCATCTCAATTTAATAAATTAAAATTTTCCTTGAATTCATTCACACCAAACTTGATTCCATGGCAAACAAAATTATTAAAAATTTTCAGGATCCTTGTTTTGCAAGTTTAGTGAAGCACGTATAAAATTTTAATGACAAATTGAAACGTTTGAGTTTTGTTCTTTCTGGGTTGGAATGAAATTTATCTCGATTTTGTTGCATTACTCACCCACGACTTCTTCGACCTCCTCCATGGCCTGCATCCTGGCATGGTCGGCCATCCGCATTGCAGCGCCGGTGCCGTTTGCGAGCATGGCGTTGGCCTCGTGGCCCATCGCGTCCCTGAAGCCCTCCGTGGGCGCCGACGGCTTGACCATGAGCGGATCTGCAAAGTTGCTCGGCTGCACGGGCATAACAGCATCCTTGCTCGAGTTGCAGCCCATGGTGTCCGCTGCGGCACATAAAGTCCTTCGAGCTCTGAGCGAGGCCTGCTGGCCGTCGCAGAAAAGCCCACTATAACTATAGCGAGTCCCCGCGACCTAGAGATTGTTTTCAAAACAAACTCAGTCAGCAGTCAAAGGAAGTGGTCGTGCGACGTGCATGCTGCTGCGCGGACGGCTTCGATCTGCCCTGCACGTACGGTGCTGGGCCAGAGCCTTAAGAATGTGAAGTCGATATAATCGCGTGCCTGCATCGCTAAACAGTTTTGTTATATTGCTAACACGCGGATGGAGACGGTGGTGCGGTAGGGGAGGAGAGTAGGAAATTTGCGATAAACTGAACTAAATTTAGCAGGCAAAGGAGGGGAAACATTTATTTCCTTAGTAAGTTATAATTGGGTTAATAACAAAAATTATAAGAAATGAAAAAAAATGACGATAATTTTTTTTATGTAACTCATCCGCTATTTGCACGTTGAGCCTAATTTAAAAAAAAGCCGAAAAAAATTTAATCCTGAAAAATTCAAGATTTGAGAACAAAGCAAAATAAGTGAATTTTGATTTACAAGCTTTGAAAGATTAATCTAAGAATTTACGAATTTTAATAGTTGGAAAATCTTTTATTTTTTGAAGCTCCAAAATTACAAAAATAGATTAAACTGTCGTGAAAATAACTACATACTGTATAGCAAAATAATTAATATTTAATGATATTTAATAATGTAAAAATGTTTTTAGATATGGCTATATTATGTTAGTTCACTGTTTTTTTTTTCTGCCAAAAAATTGGAAAGAGAAAAACGTCGAGCTAGGGCAGGACAAAAGACCCAGAAGCCTATTGTTAATTAATTGATTTAATTTATGAGCTTACTTAAATCCAAATGTTTATGTTATGTTCACAAATATTTTATTTTATGCTGTGATTTATAATATTAAAATGAAAAATATTGTGAAATGTATCTTTCAGCATCTTTTAATATTTCATGCAGATCTCTCATTTGAATCATTTCTCTATTCAAGCTTGCTGCAAAATTAATATTTCGAGATAAAAACAAAAATAATAAAAATTAGCAAATTAATAAAACTAATTCAAAATGATAACATTGTAAATTTAGAATTTATGCATATTTTATTATTTCCATTCAATACATACACATAAATGCAATTGCAACACAAAAATCTTAAAATGATAGAAATGATAGAATTGTATGTATGTATAAGCGACTGTCTCACAATCAGCCTGCCAAGCACATCCGCCTTGCAGTTTTCAAAATCTCGCGGCAATTTTATGCAAGATGGCTGCTGAAAGAGAGTCCTCTATAGCATTAAAACCCTAAAGATAAAAATAAAATCAAAAACAAACTAAACAAAGCCCCATGCAAGGCCCCATATGGCCCATGCCCCATGTGGTTTGGAATTGTTGAAAAGTGTGGATCTGTTGGTCGGTGGGTTGTTTTTACTTTTTTACCTTTTACATAACTTGTGGATAACGCATACTCTTTGTTAATTAATTTGCATACATACATAACTATGTATGTAAACATATTTTTGCCATGCTTTTTTTTTGCTCTAGAAGAACAATTAATTTTACCTAATTTTTGCCTTTCCAGCTATATAAATACAATACAATAAAATCTGAAAATGATCGAAGAGGAGCTAGAATTAGGCACGGTTGATTTGGGATTTGCTGAAAAATGCGAACCTTGGAAGCTTCAGAGTCACTTCTTCCCAAGCAAAATCGGCGGCAAACCAGCCTGGTTGAACCTGCAGGACATCCCCTCTGCTGACCGCGTCCAGTGTAGGGTTTGCCAGGGTCCCTGCATCTTCCTGTGCCAGGTCTACGCTCCCATTGAGAGCCAGGACGAGTGTTTCCACAGGACGATATTTATTTTCATCTGTCCTAACGTGGATTGCTGTCTACCCAACCAAAGTGACAATTTCAAAGTTCTCCGATGCCAACTCAGTCGGCGGAATGATTTTTTCTCAGTCAACCCTCCAGTGGAGTCTCCGCACACCTTACCAGAGAGGAGAGTTGAAGAGCTGACAAAGGTCTGCAGGGTTTGTAACTTGAAAGGAACGTCACATTGTGGCAAGTGCCGCAATGTAAACTACTGCAGCCGTGAGCATCAAGTTGCTGACTGGAGAGCCGGACATAAACTGGAGTGTGCTGCTAATGAAGGTTGGATAGAAATCTATCTAGTTTGTTCAATTCATAATTTATTTATTAAAGTTAATCCTCAAAGACCGCTGCCTCTGTTGCTGCCTGAATGGGAAATTGAAACGGAACCCGAGCCCGACATTGATGATCTACGAGGTGGGAAAGTGGAGAGATCAGATGAAGAGAAGCTTAAGGAATATGAAAGTCTTGTAAATGCTGGAAAAGCCGGAACTTTGCATGGTAGATTTGACTCAGTAAATTATGAACCAATTTTTAATGTGAGGATAATATATCAATAGATACTTCTGTGGATGCTGACCTGAATGCCATGGCCGGAGAAAAGGAAGACCAAATTTTCAAGAAATTCAAAAAGAGAATTTCTGAAATGCCAAAGCAAATTTTGCGGTATGAGAAGGATGGAACGCCTCTGTGGGTTTGTGGAATTAACCAGCCAACGTCTATTCCTCCGTGTGAATATTGCGGTAATGAGAGGACTTTCGAATTCCAGGTAAATAATTAAATTGTATGTAGTTATTTTTGTGCATTGAAAAACTATTTCTCAGGTTTTGCCTCAGATGTTAAATTACCTTTCCCTTGATCAAGTTGGAAAGAGTATTGATTGGGGCACTTTGGCGGTGTTCACTTGCAAGAATAGCTGCTCGTCTGGTGACACATACAAAGCAGAATATATTTTCAAGCAAGACATTTTGCAATAAAAAATTTTAAGAGATAAAAATTTGGTTTTGATTTATTTTCAATTTTGTATGGCGCTACCAAATCAGAAAACTTTGTTTGCAAACAATTTCGATTACTAATTTTTATTAAATGAAATTATAATATTCTAGTCACGGTTGCATTGGTTTTAACAAACACAGAAGAACGCAAAACAAGAGGGCAGGGTTTCCAGGACGAGTGTCATTTTTTTCAACAGCAAGTTAACTTAATTAACACTTAATCTGTCTCCTGGTCCTATACAAAAAGGCGTTGTCACTTTAAAAAGCAGGTTAGTTGCCTGAAGTGAAGATAATGTGGCGACAGAAATAAATGATGACAGCAAATCTCACATTCAACAGCTGAACCAGAAACAACACCCGACAGTCTGTTCGGCCGCTCTTCGACACACCGTGGCCAACACGTTCCGATCCACTCGTTCAATAATTAATTTGATTTGCAGTTAGACAGGGTTACTCTACATAAATAGCAAGAGTTCATATTTTTTTGTTTCTTCAGCGTAGCCACAGTTTAAGCCTGAGAGCGTCCACGCCATTCAAGTAGTATCGAAAGAGGCGTTTATCCCGAACGAACCCCAGGTTTTCATACAGTCGAAGTGCTGGTTTGTTGGTGATTTCAGTTTCAAGGACCACCTAATAGCATTTAACAATTAGCATGCTTCAAATAATTAAACATTGAAATAATTTACCTCATCAGCGTCATCTGCAATCATTGCCCGAATTGCCATCAGAACTAGGTTAGAGCCTAAAAATAAATCAAAACAACTCAATTTTAGATCAAGTATGCTATTAATTATTTAAGAGAAAGCAGATGAGCTAATATAAAGAACTGAAGACATTTGCATTAGAACGCACATCCTTTAGGCCAGCCCAAATGTAGTGCAGTAATTTACTGTGAATTGTGATTTTAATTTAATTGTACATAATGGTGACAGTACTGAGTTATTTTTTAATTTTATATTTTTACCTATCCGCTTTTTTCTGTGCTTCTCATCTACGGCCAGCATGGCAATGTAGCCCCTCTTCAAGACTTTTCGATGTAAATCTAACTTGCAGACAATGGCTCCAACACACTCTTCGCCACACATTGCCTGCAAAAGGAATGGAAAATTAATTTGGGTCAGCAATAAATGAGGGATGATTTTTTTTGTCCAGTCACCAAGCATGTATGATGCTAAAAATAAAAATTTTTGAAATTTTTTTTTACCAAGAAGCACAATTTCGGCCAGTTATGAATGAAGTATCGGTAGGTGTATATAGAGTAGGGCTCGGACAGATCTTTCTGTATGAGGCGCATGATGTCCGGCATCTGCAGCTCGGACTCATAAGAGACATAACGTATGTCTGATGCTGGGTTTTCCTCCTTTGCAGACTTTTGGCGACTCTCCTCGTGGCTTGAACTGTATCCACTCGACTCCTCACTATGGCATGGGACAGGTTCACTCACACAGTCTGCACTTTGACTAGAGCAAGGCTGGACGTCCGGACAGCAGTGTGGTGTGCTGTCCACCCCGTTAATCACCACCCCGTTAACCGCACCCTTCAGACTCAGTCTGTCCTTGAGTTGTGTAGAAATGCTTTTGTCCATCTGCTGTTCCTTAACTGTGTCTGGGCCACCAGGGCAGCGCCCTGAGCCATGCGAAGACTCGGGACAGGGCCCGTGCTGAGCGGGCCTCTGCGTGTCCATCGGCGCCTTTGACGGGTCTAACGGTGGAAGAATTGAATCGTGCGGCGCTGCTGGACACTCGAGGGCATCGGAGCGCTCATTTTCAGGACGCTCTTGTCATCGCTCGCCCCCAAAAGCTTGGGCGACTCATGAAAAATAACAGAAGTCTTACAGAACTTCAGCGATGACCACCATATTGGTCGGACAAACGAGCAGAGACAGCGGCGGCCAAAGCGCGAAATTCAAAATTTCCAGCATGATCAGCTGCTTTGAAAAACATTTAGCAAGTTTTGGAAAAATCAAGTTTTCCAATAATTTTGACAAATAAGAGGCGATCATCGAATCTTTGGCCATTCATTTGAATACAGGTTGTAAGTGAGCTTAAAATATTCCAAATATTCATAAGCTTATCACATTAAAATGATCTTTTCAGCATTACGTAACATAATTGGCAGATTTCAAATTTTTATTCCTTTTTTGTCTTAAAAAACATCAAAATTATTTACTGTAAATTTTGTAAGTTTAGTATTATTTGTTATTTTTCCTATTTCAGTTTAGATAATTATGCCATTGAACAAAGAGGAAAGAGCTGATTGCTGGGCAGCAAGAGACCAATATTGGGCCTGCCTAGGCGATGCCGAGGCAAAAAAGCATTTAGAACCAGAAAAAGCTTGTAAAGAACTTCAAAAAATATTTGAATCAAAATGTCCTAGTCAATGGGTAATGAGTTTTGTTAAAAATTTTCTTAATCAGCAATCCCTAATTTTATTTATCTTGTAGGTGAAGCATTTTGAGCGAAAAAGGAAATTTGAAGTATTTAAGAAAAATATGGTTGAGCATGGATTTGAGCCAATTCCAGAAGATACAAAAGACACAAAGTGATGTTCTTATTCCAGTGTTCATATTTAAAATGTTATAAGTGTGGTTGGATTGATGCAAATGAATAATGAATGTAATACCGTAAAAAAATGTCTTCGATCTTATTAAAAAAGCTTCCAGTTTCCATTTATTATAATATTTCAGTTCTACAGTTTAAACATGTATGGTAGCCTCATCTTAATAATACAATATAAATATCCAGATTAAACTTCATCGAAAATGATTTTTCAGTCTTAAATAATGATGTCGTTACAAGGCAGCGTTTTAAATTTCCCTATAGATATAGATATATCACATCAAGACAATTAAACTATGGCCAAAAGTAAAAGTTCATATTTTACAATACAAAGAACTGCGCAAGTAAATTAATTCCACCAATGAGAGGTATGATGGTGTGAATGAGGACTTGAAAACAAGTGAGCCTGTTTTCCCAGTAGAGAGAAATCATGTGCAGCAAACATGGCAATGTGAAAACATACACCATTCCTGATATAGCTCCAGTAAATCTACATAACAAAAGATAAATTAAATAAGGTTAAGGGTTCTCTTACTTCCGATGAAACACATACCTTGCAATAGTGCCAATTTTAGGCAGAAAGATCGCAAATACAACACAAAGGCAGATAATTAAGGTGTTCAGGGCAAAAATTGGCCCCCTGGCTTGTAGAGAGGTTGCTGGGAGTTTCAGTGCTGCAAAAACCTGCACTCGAATCATGTAGGCAACCAGAGGAAAAACGGTAACCAGTTGAAAAAGCAAAAATATTCTTGCAGTTACAGCCATCAGGTCCCATCCAGGAAAATTATTTAAAATATTCTAAATAATTCATTGCATCAGAAATTAAATTATTTGTAAAAAAATTTAATGTTGTCTTACATCTTCAATGCACGATTTGGCCAGCGGGAATGTTACATAGAAAACGAAACCAATGATAATGTAGGTCATGGTGACTAGCACATACGCAATCGACAAATCTCGACCCTGAAAATTTAATTTTTATATATGAACTGCAAATAATATTATCCACTCACATTATTTTCTTGGTTTTGGTTGTTTTTCATCACTGTGATTACAATGTTGTGGATAAAAAAAGAGAGCGCAAGAAGTCCAGATAATGCAGGGAATGAAGATTCAAATATCGGCGTAAAAGAAGGGCTGTTTGAGTCATGGATGTCAGCATTTATTCCCCACTGGAATCCCTTGATCCCAATAAATATGAGCAGATAAAACACCGAAAGAGTTCCTGCAACAACAAAAATTAATCAGTATGTTTTTTGCCACAAAGATGCAGTTTTGCATTACCAACTGAATTGAATTTGGTGAAAAATGTCGCATCTCTGCAACAAATCAGAGGCCCAATGAAGGGAATCAGGACCAAAGGCACAGTCGTATACATGTTCCACCACTTGTGGTACGAGTCTTCCGGAGAGGCCTGCAGAAATGAAAACAGGCTGGAGCTGTCATTGTTGGGTGGCAGAGGAACTTTTGGACACAAAACTAGAAAATGAAATCAAAATTTAAGTAAAGAAAACAATAAAATTTGATCCTTACTTGTTGAGCTATTGGCAGTGACATTCAATTCTCCAGTGAACTTTGCTAAAATTTAAAAATATCATTCATTTAATATGGCAATTTATTATCATTAGTTTTTAGTTCTTACTGTAAAAATAATCTACAGAGTAGTACAAGAAATTTGACATGAGAACCCAGTACACAATAGTGGCCCCGAGAAGCACCACAAGTGAAAAGATTTTAGCTGCTATTTCTGCCGGCCATCCAATCAATTTTTTCGACAGGTCTGGTACTTCAGTATGTTCACCGCCTGTAAAATCAAATAAATAATTACTGTTGAAGCTCAACTGTTGATTACTAATTTTATTACCATGCAACTGGTTGATTTTAAGTAGGCGCCATGTGGTGTAAAGACAAATGGTACTCATGAAAAGCATCAGTATGAGGCCTCCACCGAGCCCCGCTTGGGAAACACCCCATGGCATGGAAAGCAGGGAGGAGCCCATAATAGTATTCCATATCGCAAATCTGAAAATTAAATTCATATTAAAATAAGTCAACTTAAATCTATTTTCAATGTGGTTGGTTAACAATATTCGAATAAAATATTAGCGACATGCAAAAATAATCACGGCGGGGAGATGCATGCATTGCTCTTGGCGACTGTCTCGTTGTCATAGCAACCAAATAGGTCACTGAACCCAATGTGCATAAGGCAAAAAAGTTGTGCACAAATTGCACGGCGACGATCTGACCTCAAGTGCGCAGCTATTTTAAGTTTGATCGATTTTCCTCAAACGACTGGGGTGAAGAACCGCAAAATGAATATACTTTTTATCATTAATTACCTCAAATATTTCAAATTTGATTTTATCCAAACCAAATTGTATATTATATTATAATAGCAGAAACAGGCATTTCATGATATTGAAATAAGACTTCAAGTAATTTTGAAGAATAGCCTGTCATTATCCTCTCGTTTCAGGTGCAAATTACACAAGCCAAGGTCAAGATTTATTGCGCGCTAAGCACAGACGGTGCACGCCAATTGCAATTTTGAATGTGGCCAAGGTACGCGCATGCACTGATGCTGAAAACACCCACCAGAGCCCTGCAACTTCCGAGCGGAGGCTCCAGTCGTCCACGAAACCATGACCTAGGCCGACGCTTGCTGCAGTCAGGCAGGCCAGGTAAGTTACAATTATTATTACTCCTCATGAACGCAATCACATGTACGGAATCACACTTTTTACCAACCTACTTGTCAATCAAGTTTTCAATTTCCCTTCACAAGACCTAGTATTAGGTCGTTTTAATTGGAGCGCCGTCAATCTATTTTAAATTTTAATCCACCAAAAGGGGTGATTATTTTTAGACACTTTCATTTGCCAGACACTTTCTTTCAGACTCAAATACGTGCAAAATTTCTGGGTTAATTTCGTTCCATATTTAAACTGAATGCAAACCAGTTTTTGTGATGTTTTGTTCTTTTATTAGTATATGGGCTGCCTGTTGCTTTTATTTTTTCAAGGTAAGTGCGTTTTGAAATAACAGTCTGCAGAGTGAAAATAAAAAATTGCAAAGAGTGCAGCTGCGTTCAAGGACAGTGGCTTGCAGGATATGTACTTTGGCAGTCATTTATTGCTCGGAATTGAAATTCAGACAATAATTTAAAAGGTGAAAGGCAACCTTGCAAATTATCGGTGAAAAATAAGTCTGAATATTTGAAAGTTTCTGCTGAGATAAAAATAACTGTCCTTCCACAGATAATGAAAAATTACCAAATAAAGTTATAATGACAAAATCTTAATAAAATTAATTAGTTTTTAAATTGAAGCAAGCAAGCCATAGGAACCTATAATTTTTTTCTCTCGTGCAAAAAATCAATCAACGTGAGCTTGCAAAAGAAAACCGCATTTATTAGCAAAGCGCAGAGACGAGTGCGACCTGCAGACGACCTCAAATTGATCGATCTGGGCTGCATGCGTCTGGTGTGTGCGAGTGCACCGACTTGGTCTAGACACCAGAATCATCTCCACTCCGCGGGGCCACCCACCCCCGCTGCCATGATTGTGCCGCCGTTACGCGGCGCCCCTTGCGACGAGGGGCATTCAACCCTCGCCGGCAGCCGGAGTGGGAGAACAAAACTTGGCGTTCGCTGTTGCCGACTGAGCAAACCCTATATTCGCTCCACTGCAAATGATAAAAAGAAACGACGTTTTGCGCAATTTGATACATTCGTTCCCGCGTGATAACTTGATACGGGCTCGTGCTTGTCACATATGTATCAAATTTGTGTGTTCCCCTTTTGTGTTGGATTAGCGTCGACACAATTTTTTATATCAAATTACTTTAATGAGTGAGGCAGTCGGACGCATTTTAATTACCAATGTTTTACAATCAATTTAAAAATTTTTGGCAACTAAAAATTTAAATTTAGAAAATCAAGGAAAATCGAAAGATGATTGCTGAAAATATAGCTTGGATTTTTAATTTTTTAGATAAATAATTGATTCAAAATATTTATAATTATTTTGAAATTTTCAATGCAATCTTTGCAATCTTTAAACGATACTTTACCTCCCTAAGTCCCAACATAACATTGCCTGCGGAATATTCTTTAATTTATCTAATACTTTGAACTTGGTTCTCATTTTCTCATTTCACAAGTATGTCCTTAAACGTATCCCTCCATTTTTTTGTATAAATAAAACTTTGCCATTAAAATACAAAAACGTGTAAAAACCTTTGGTCAGATATTAAAAAAATTTAAAATAATAAATCAACAAAAAAATTATTACAATTTTGACAAAGTGAGCCATAAATTCAGTTAAATAGAGGAGATTAAGTCAGGGTTATCACGCCGGTCAAGTATGATTCAATAAAAGCGTGCAGACCAAGTCATAAGTGCTAAGCGTGACACATGAGCAATGAAGACAATTGTTTGTCGTACTAATAAAAATCTCGCATCCGTATGCACTCACATAATTTTCAAATCAATATGCTCTCATAAGAAATGGGTCAATGTGTCGCGCAACTGAAAGTGCGGAAAAATCGCGAGGCAAAAAGATCATGGGCAAATTGAATGGTTGCAAAAATAGCCATGGCCGACCGCTCGCAAGTGTCTGCTCGGAGATAACCCCACCACAAGGTCAAGAGACGCCTAATCATGTCATTGCGATGTTGCAGCGAAAAAATATATTTACGCCCAAAGAACATGACATCAGTTCTATTAATACTTATTGAATTCAAAGTCTTAATACAATCAAAATTCAACTCACATTGTGACAATGCTGCTCTGCTTGCCAGAAGGCCGGTCAGCGCCAGGAATGTACGGCAGAAAAAACGTCGGCGGAATAACATGGTCGGGGATTATCTGCACAGAAGAAAATAGAAATTAAATTAACAAGACAGCTCGGGCAGTAAAATTTAATAGCAGTTGAGCATGTCAGATATTGGCTTGGTTTTCCATTGCCACTTGTTGCTGAATTTACATACTGGTTATAAAACAAGCGGCCTAAAAAGTAATTATGACAAACAAGATCATTTGCATTTTTTTTCACACAATTTTTTTACAGCCGTACGTGAAATTAGAAATTACAAATTTTTCTCGGCTCTGCCAACGGATATCACGGCAGAGCACGACTGGCATAATCAATAGTCACATGAGGCACAGAGACTGACTAAAAAAGGCCTTGAAAAAGAAAATAATAACCTGTTTATGACTTTGGCGTTGCTCATAGAATGTAAACATTTGACAGGTGCAAAAAAATGGTTCAGAAAAGGAATAATATTTCATACCAAAGCGGGTTCCTCTTCTGTTACTGTGCTTCGTAATTTATTGTAGTACTGGAACCTGTTGTAAGTTGCTGACGACGATTCATCTATCTGCCCCGATATTCGCCTCTGGGTTTGGTAATGAAACGGGCGGCGACTGCAAGTAGAAAGATGGATTTTTGCTGACTATTTAATACCAAATACATGTCATTAAGAAATTTGAAGATTGATATTAAAATTAATCTTAAGAATAATTTTAATTTTTCTAAAATTATGTTTGCATACAATTGAGTTAACTCTATTTTAGCAAGTAAATACAGACATGCTTGTTTAAAAGAAGATTCCAAATTAAAATTATTTAACAAAAAATCTTTTAACTATACAAGGAGAAAAATTTATGTTATTTTCGGTTATTTTGTTATTTAATTTTTAATTTTGTTAGTCGCTCACTTGTTAGTATAGGTTTTTCGTAGGAGCTCTCTAGTCCTTTGGTAATTAGCGACATACTCCATGTCACTTGTTTCCGAGTCGGGAAACATACACACAGGCATACTGTCAAGAAGCCAAAACCAAACTGAATTAGGGTCAACGTTCTACAGAAAATAAAGGAAGTGCCGAGGAATTTGATCACAAATCAGGAGCAAAGGTTAGATCAACAAGATAGTATAAATCAAAATAACAAAAGATCTGAGGGGTTAGATCAACGCACGTGTAGCTGTTATTGCTGGTCCTGCTGGTGTCTGATGACAGAAGTGGCTGGGACTCTCCTCCAGAGTCGGTCGTTTGGTCTTCGAAATTGTTGGGTGGATAACGCGAAGGATGTCTTCGCGGCAAACGCGGTCGCTCCGACATTGTTCTCGAGGATTATTTGGCTCACAACTTTCTAAAATTCGATTTGAAAAAAAATTAAATCCTGAGGAAGAATGTTTGGCAGCTGCTTTTGCATAAAAGAGGGCTCAGCGAGAGACGCCTTTGAAGTGAGAAAGCTGCCGAGGGAAAAGTGAATGACGGATTAGTTATTCAGCACCAACCGACAAGAAATCCACGGCGAAAATTCGTTGGCTGGCAGGTGCTTGGAACCCTCCAGAGTCAGTCACCAAACTGCAAGACCACCGGCTTGCGAGCAAATCGCTTTTATGGCTTATGTATTTTTGCACATTTCGCCCAGCTGCCCCATTGCTATTTTACGTAAATAAAGGGGGAGGAGGCATCAAGTTGCCATCACGTGGTCACGTGATGTCGTGTTGACCAATCAGAGGCGAGATGGCGAATTCTGCAAGAAACAATTGCGAAAGGGAATCCGGCAATGGCGCTAAACTTGTAATTTGTGGAAAAGTAAGCAAATAATCTTGAATTGCCTGCTTTTCCGTGGATGCCCGGCTCGGAAAAGCGCTTCCGGTAGCACAGTGGAGCCCTGTCGGCGCATCCACGCCCTCAGTAGCGGGCCCAATGATGAAGGCGCACGAGTCACCTTGAGGCGCGATGCGAGTGCCCTTGAAGGTCATATGGCAGCACCGGCAGCCGGCTGCAAGGACTGGCGAACACTTTCGGGTCACCTAATTTCGCCCGCAGTCGCGTCCGCCGTATCAGAGTGAAGTGACCCCGCTTCGTAATGGCTTACTCGTCCAAGAAAGTGCCAACTACCGTCTTCGACGGTCAGAAACCCGGCACCAGCGGCCTTCGAAAGGCGGTCAAAGTCTTCCAACAGCCTAATTACACTGAAAATTTTGTCCAGAGCACTTTGAATGTGCTCGGAGACAAATTAGCCGGCTGTACTCTTGTTGTCGGTGGTGACGGTCGTTTCTTTGGCAAAGATGCTGTCAAGATCATCATCAACATGTGTGCTGCGAATGGGGTGTGCTTTGATTTTTATTTATTTAATTTTTTGAAAATATCTAATAATCAAAATTTTTATTAAAAACAACAGCTTATAGAGAATGGAATTGTTTTATTGCCACGAGTACGGTCATGTGTACTCACCTGCATTTTTCCCCATCCTAAATTTTTGTGAAATTTTGTTTAATTTTTTCCTGAAAAATATTTAATTTTACATTTCTATTTTTTGTCGACAGGTCGGTAAACTCTTGGTCGGCCAAAATGGGATCCTTTCAACCCCTGCTGCCTCTTGTTTGATCCGCAAACACCAGACAGCAGGGGGTATAATCCTGACTGCAAGTCACAACCCTGGAGGCCCTGACGCAGACTTTGGCATTAAATTTAACACTTCCAATGGAGGTTTAGGATTTCAAAATGCTTTTTTTTCTTCTTTACTTAGCCTTTTTAATTTTCCAGGCCCTGCTCCTGATGCTGTCACCAATCAGATTTACTCTCTAACCACAAAAATAACCGAGTTCCTCATCACTGATACACCTGTGGCTGTTGACTTGTCCAAGATTGGGACCAACACATTCACCATCGACAGCAGCAAGCAATTCACAGTCGAAGTCATTGACTCTGTAGCCGACTACCTTCAGCTGATGAAAGAGATCTTTGACTTTGCTTCAATAAAAAGTTTGCTCAGTGGCTCCTCAGGAAAACCTTTTAAACTGCTGCTGAATTCAATGCATGGAGGTAAAAAAAAATTGAAACATTTTAAATTCTGAATATTGCGGATATTAAACTTGTAAACGTTTTTCAGTAACTGGCCCCTATGTTCGACGCATCTTTGTTGACGAGTTAGGTGCTGGCGACGACTGTTGCGTCAACACCACCCCGCTGGAAGATTTTGGGGGTCATCACCCTGACCCCAACTTGACCTATGCTGCAGATTTGGTAAAGGCAATGGCCGAAGGAAACCATCACTTAGGTGCTGCATTTGATGGAGACGGAGTGAGAAAAGCAAACTTTTTTAAAAAAAAATAGTTTTTTTAAATGCAAATTATTTTCAGGATCGAAACATGATCTTGGGAGAAAAGGCGTTCTTTGTCACTCCATCTGACTCTTTGGCAGTCCTGGCAGCAAACCTTGAATGCATTCCATACTTCAAGAAGACAGGAGTCCGAGGCTATGCTAGAAGTATGCCCACAGCTGCAGCAGTTGACAGGTATTTGGACAAATCTAATTTATTTAATCCATAACTTATTAAATATCAATTTAGGGTTGCAAAGGAAACTGGAAAAGAATTCTTCGAAGTTCCAACTGGCTGGAAGTATTTTGGTAATTTAATGGATGCTGGCAGGTTGTCCCTCTGTGGAGAAGAAAGCTTTGGGTATATTTTTTTACCTTAATTTGTAAATTTCTGAAATTAAAATTTAATTTGCTTTTTTAGTACCGGTTCTGATCACATCCGAGAAAAAGACGGTATTTGGGCTGTGCTTGCTTGGCTCTCAGTTTTGGCGCACACTAGTCTTGGTGTCGAACAACTCTTAAATCAACACTGGGCCAAGTTCGGCAGAAATTTCTTTACCAGGTAATAATTTCTCAAAAGGAATTATCACTTTAATTATAAAGCAACTTCCGTTTAGATATGACTACGAAGGTTGTGAGTCGGACCCCTGCAATAAAATGATGTCCGAGTTGGAGGCAAAAGTGAAAGAAGCCTCATTTATTGGAACTCAACTCACAGCCCCTTCCTCCGGCAAAATCTACACTGTGGCCACAGGGGACAACTTCGAGTATACCGACCCCATTGACAAAAGCGTTGCAAAGGGCCAGGTAGATAAAAAATTCTTTAGATAGAAAATGAAACTAATTAAATATTTTAGGGAATCCGAGTGCTGTTCTCAGATGGCTCAAGGGTGATCTATCGCCTGAGTGGAACCGGCAGTGCTGGTGCCACCGTTCGTCTTTACATCGACAGTTACGAGTCGGACAGCTCAAAACACTCATTGGCTGCTGAGGTAGGAATTTTCTTAGTAAGAAGCTTTTCAAAATGGCACAAATTTATATAAATTTATAGGTAATGCTGGGTCCTCTAGTTGAAATTGCGTTGCAGCTTTCTCGTCTTGAGCACTTCACGGGCCGCTCAAAACCAACCGTCATCACGTAATCAGTGTTGTGAGTACTTGATTGATTTGTGCCATGCTTTCTTGTCAAAATTTAGAGGTAAGAAATAGTTGTAATGGTTTGTAAGGTTACAATCACTCTTCTTAAAAGTATAATAACTAACTCTTCACCGTGTCGATAAATTTATCTCACTGTTACCTTCATGTAATCCAAGCAATCCTTCTCAAATTCTACCTCCTCTCATTTAAGTTTTCCTCTCCACGATCAATATTTTTTACAGTAGTATAATATGCACTTGTAGCATTGTGAGAAAAAAATGATTAACTTAACTACAAAATAGAAAATTTCTTAGAATATGGTGGTTGGTTAAGATGATAATAAGAAAGTCTTAAATATTAGAAATAAGCAAAATAAGTTATTTCATTTTCACTTGTTGTTTCAAATACTTTTGATGTATCGTATCCATGCCACAAGTTCTATAAATTTGTCTAATGTTCGTGAGCGCCAATGAACTGAAATTCATTTTTGTATTGGAATAGATATTTTTGGATTGTAAGGGACAAGCACAAAGAATTTATTCATTAACTATTGCTTAAATATTATCTCCGCAATCAATTATTTTAGGTTTTTTTTGCAATCAAATGCTTAATTGTAAATATTGCGAATTTCGCCAATGTCTGCAGATTTTCAGCTAACAATTAAATATCTCTTTAGTAATTTGATAAGGGAAGGCAGCAGACATTGCCTAGCAAACTGCTGGATAAACTTGATTTTAAACTTTTAAGCTTTTTGTTTTTAAAACACAAATCACTACACGACTTGAATTGGCCATGCGCATATGCAAAACAAAAATTCACATTGACATCTTTTTAAAACCATTATTTTATGAATTGTTGAAAAAAAAAAATGGAAAAATAATGAGGTGACGGATTAAAAAAGTAGCCACTTTTAAAAGTATTTTAAAGCACCTCGCCATAAAAAAAAACACATAACAATCATAATACCAAACAGGATAGGGAAGGGAGGAATGAAAACTGCCAAGCAAAGCTGTGAAAAGGATATTTTTGTGCAACTAGATTTTAATGATGATCATTTGATATGCAATGATTTAAAACAAAAATTTCAGCAAGGTCAGCAAATTGCTGCCCTGCATGATTGAATAGACTTGAAAAAAATAAAATATAAAATTGAGTCTTTAATCTATTTGTTTTTGCAAAACATGGGTGTATTCAAATTTCAAATTAATTTACAAATTCAGCTCTCTTTTAAGAACAAGCAAAATAAATGTAATTGTAACTATGCGACCAGCAAAGAAGTGTTTACATAAGAATTTTTGTAAAAGAGAGTTTGACCAGTTTCGCAGAAATTCTGCCAATACAAAATTAACGTCTTTTTTCAACATTGGCTCATCTTTGAGACGTCATCAAGCCCAGAGAGACTTTTGCATATAATCAGTAGCAACGTATTTAAAATACTTTTAAACCAAAACTCTTGTAGTAGGAGAGTGACATCCCTGGCGCCGACAGCCATGAGCGGCGCCGGGTCAGTGACCAGCCATGACTGCCTGTTGTTGTATGATAGACTGGACTTTCTCTACTCGGTATCTGCTTGATCCGTAGTTTGTAGAAGAGCCCCTCAGTGACGCGACCCGCGAGGCCGACGGAGGTGGCCCTTGCTTTGGTTCCAGTTACTCTCTCTTGATTGTGCACCATTTTCAATCCACTCGCTGTGACGCACCAAATTGCACTCACCGTAGCTAGATTTCAAGCTCTCGGGCTGCCTGGTCAAGATGCACGTTGTCTAATTTCTTGTACATTCAGGATATGTACTGAGTGAGGCAGTCTGCAGTGCGCTTATTGTAAATAAAATACTTTTTCCTCTCCATCTAACTTTTCTATGCTTGCTGTCTTTAGAGCAATCTCTGAAATTGTAAAAAATAATGTTGTAATCTATGTGCTTGCCCCTTATTGATAATTTGAAGTTATGGAAGATGTTGGGAAAAATGAATTTCAGTTCATGGAAATAATTTTTGCGTAGTAAAACAAAATGAACAAGGGCTAATATAATCGCGTCCATTAAATGTATACTTTTGATTTTTAGTTGATGGCGTTATGTTTGGAAAATGTGTGTGGCAATCAAATACAAGCCTAAATACACATTGTTTTTCTTCTATTAAATGAGGTTTTGATAAGTGTGATTGTAGGCGTGGCAAATAAATTAAACTAGTTGTGAAATAATTTACGACTTTTTGTGTGCATTTAATTTTTAATCAAAGACCTTTTTATTCGTTTTCTTTAAATCCATTTGTTTATTTTATCTCTCTTGGTAGATTCGTATAGAGCCGTACAAAAATCATCATCACTCTGAATACCAACATGAAAATACATTTTTTACAAGGGTATATGTACACAAGCTCTCATTATTGACACAATAAATAACTCTGATAATATCGACTTTTGATTAAACATAATTGTTTGTGTGAACTATCTTACAATAAATGCGCGCTGAGGGTTTCTCTTTGTCTCTTCTTCTTCCGTGATGTAAAAGAGCAGTCGTCAGAGATGCGCACACATTTCACAGAACTATGACTTCAGTGTAGGACAGCTTTTTGCTAATTGCAAAGTCAAAGAAGAGTTCAAAGATTACACAAATCTGTTGAGTTGATTGTACAAGGTCTGCAAGCAGTAGTCAAGCTGAGGAGCTGTTGGTCTTTCCTTCGGACTAGTTGACCAGCAGTAGGCCATTGTTCCAAACCTTAAGAGCAAAAAATAATTACATTATTGCTTCAACGAGATTTTAATGACAAACTTACAGTTCATCTGGACAATTCACCGGTTGGATGAGTCTGTAGCCGTTTCTCAGATAATCAGCCATCTCAAAGGGATCAACCTCTGCATAGGGTTGCTGCGCTAGTGTGGCAAGTTCCCATAGCAAAACTCCATACGCCCACTGAAGATAAAGTTTTGAATTAATTTAATTCTGTTTAATTAAAAAAAAATCCGCAAAAAAAATTAATTATTTAAATACATTTTGGACATTATTATAAAAAATTATATTCTTACCACATCAGACTTGGTTGTGAACTCATGATGAGTCAAGGCCTCCGGGGCCATCCACTTGACGGGCCGGTTCTCGTTGTCGCCCAAACAGTGGTAATCCATGGGGAAGAGATCTCTGGCCAGAGCGTTGTCTGCTATTTGAATTCTTAGGCTGCTATCAACCACGCAGTTTCGCGCGGCAATATCCTTGTGGATGATCTGCTTTCTGTGCAGATAGTGCAGACCAGCGTTGATTTGGAGAGCCATGTCTACCAGCTGCTGAGTGGTCAGCGAGTGGGACATGCCGCCCTCGCCATTGCACTGCCGACACTGAAGTAGGAACCTGAAAAACAGAATTTTTTTTAGACAAATTTAAAAAATTAAATTTTGATTTTACCTCTTGAGATTTGTGTAACCCTTGTAAGGGTATATGAGGAAGGGAGCTGTGTGGTCCTCGATGGACACCCCTCTGACTGCAAGGAGATTGGGGTGCATCAGGGCGTACATTGACATGCCCTCCTGCAGGAGCAAGGACACTTGAACTTGTGACGCATGGTCAGCCACTGTCTTTACAATGACCTCTTCCTCCTCCATGGTATGAGAGTCAGCATAAGAGCCCAGGTACACCCGGCCAAAGGTTCCTTCTTGCACCACACTTTGCAGTCGAACTCGACACCTGCAAATATTTAATATTTAAATCGCTGATTTAAAAAAAAGTTAAGAAATTATATATCATATTTCTAAAATATATAAATTTTTATGCATTTATTTTTATTAATTATTCTAATGCAATACAATTTACCTTTGGATTGTGAGTTCTACGATTCTCTCATGCAAATCATGCGTCCGGTCATCCCTGCTCGTAATGATGGATGGCGCCTGGCAGACCGATGCGGCCGAGGCAGCGCCACCAAGGACAGAGTGTGCAGATTCGTGGTGCCTTGAAGGTTGCCGTCGGGAAGAAAAACTAGCGTAGCTGCTGGCGGCCGACTTGGCAGAGCTGGATCCTGCTGGGGCGATGATAGGGGCGCCGTGGTGGAAGTTGTTGGGGGTAGGTGTCGGCATCACAGGGGGCGGCAGCATGTAGGCGTTGGGGTGCAGCAGGGGGCCGGTCAGTTGGGAATTTGCAACCATGCGTGAATCACTGCAACAATTAAGAAGAAAATAATCAGATAAGTTACAAATTTCATTTTCAATTTTTTTATTTTTGAACACAAAGTTTTGTGATTTATTTTCATTTAGATTTTTGACGGGAAATTCGCGTCAGACTTTAATGAATAAAAATTCCTGCAAAAGGCAGGAAGCGCATGGAATTGGACCGCGCAGTAAATTAAGTGTTGTTTCAGCATTTCAGTGCTTACTGAATGACATCCTGTCGTCTGGCCTTGTGTCTGTTCCTGGCGCAGCAGGCGGACGAAAGCAGCGCCAGAATGGCCAGCAGGGCACAAGCACACCCAACGGCGGCGTACAGGGCGCTGTCGCTCTCAGACTCGGACACCTCTGGCGTGGTGTCCACCATGACACCACTCTGGTGCACAGAGAAGACCTGAGGGGTTCGTTTTGAAGAGTCGCTGTCTGGAATGACGGCCGATGGACCTGCACAAAAACATAAAAAATGAATTTACAATAAATTTATTTAGCATGATTATTTTTTAATAATTTTAAAAAGTTTATTTTTAGAAGGATAATTTAAAGCTTTCTCTTTTAGGAAACCTTCTTAAAAAGTTCACTGAGCTTTTATTAAAAAAAAGTCTAGGCTTACGTTTCAGGCAAATTTTCCGCCTCTTGAGGGTGACAGCGGTGACATTTCTCCTCTCCAGAGTGACGTTGATGGAAATGTTGACGTCAACTTCAGCGTCCATGAGTCCATTGCAGGGCAGCACAATTTTGAAAGTCTGAATCTGGGTAGGCACAAAGCCGACCATTGAAATGTTGGACTGCGGAGGAAGCAGCGCCGACTGGTTGGACACATCAACGGAAATCACATACGGCAGCTGAAACATCGTAAAACAAATACATTGAATATAAATTTTACTTCGTCGGTTGTAAAATAAAAAATATTTATGTTGGAATTAATGTGACGATGGAGAGAATAATGAGAGAAACTCGCCCGCATAAATCATCTTAAATTAAGCACTTTGTTTTGGCAGAGCACTTGGGAATAAACTTCGAGCCATCTATTTGACTCTGTGACCCGGCTCAATTGGCGAGAACTCTCAAAGAAGGAAGCAGATGTCAAAAAGGGGACCACCCTGGGACTCGTCATAGACGCGCAAATCACGAATCGAGACGTCAAATATAATATAGTGTGAGTGTGCACTCGATCAATCACAATTACCACCCGCCGCCCTCGAAAAACGAGCACAATTGCTTTCGAGTCTATATTTCACGCCTCGTCACTTCGAGCCTTTGCGCATATAATTACTCATTCAGCTCGAGCGATTATTGAAAAAAGAAAAAATAGTTCTCCGAAGTGCAGCATGACTGTGGATCGCGAGGGTGACGTCACGATTTAATTCAATTCGCTCGGATTTTCAAGAAGCGGGCTCTCGTTCGTGAAAAGATCCAGGTGCGCGCCGATCTGAAAAAATAAGCGGAGGTGTGATGGAGACCCTCGTGGGGTGTGATGTTTGGACAGCCGCATTTATTTTGTGACTGCTGAATAAAAATACAGTCCCTGTTCTGCTGCTGTATATTTTAAATGCTGCCGGTCCACTCACACTTTATTCACACGCAGCGGCCCGCCGAGAGCTGCATATATTCATTTGAATATGTTATGTGGGCTGTTTGTTCAGCGCAAGGGGCCGGTTTGTTTGGACGCAGGCAGGCAAAGGTGCTTGACGGTCACGACTGTGTGATATTATTCTGATTCGAGATGCGTGGGACGGCTTGGAAAAATTGAATCTCCGCCGGGGTTCATCGCGCGGAAAGGTCAAAATGGAAATCTGATGTGTTTGATTAATAAAAATTCAATTATGCGTCATGTATTTGAGATTTATGAGATTTCGTTGTTTTTGAGTTGAAAAACTGCCTCGTCAAATGTGAAACAAATTAAACATCAGAATTTATATTTTTTTTTGTTGGAGGAAAAAATTAGCGAAAAAGTGCTGTCATAATTTCGTGGCGGACATTTCACAGAATTCGCTTATTAGTATCAATTTTCCTTCGACGCAAACTGCTTTTTAACCATCTCCCTGGGCCATTATCAATTGTGGTGTGCCGGCAGATTTGCGCTGATGTCGCACAGATGATGATTTTTTTTCCTTTCTCGGTCCATTCTCAAATAGACGTAATGAATGCCCCTTTGTGTGCGCACGGCGTGGAGTAAAGTCAAAGCGAGCGAGAGATGAAATGCGCGGCGGCACAAAACCCCCGACTCATTTGAGCGATCTGTCAAGGTGCACGTATACGTATAAGCTATACACGTGAACCATAAAATAAACATTAAGCGTCGTTTAATAACTCATCATTCACCAGCCATTATTACTGCAACAACGGCGGCAGGTTGAATTTCGTGTGCGGGGCCAGCAGAAAAAACTGCGGCCATCACTCAGTTGGTCGTCATTAGCAAGAGTAATTTACGAGTCTTGAGAACTGCATATATATGTACGCAGACAAAATTATGAAAAAGAGCATTAAATTTTACTTATTAAGCTTTTAATTTCATAAATTATTATTTTTACCGCATTATTATGACATAAAAAATTAATGATCATTCTTGTTAATATGGAGTCACGATTGGCACAGTAGTTTTTCAATTTTAAGGAGCTATATCAATTTATAATAAATCTAATTTTTTAATTCTTAAAGACAAGTAACTGACTTTACAGAATTAACGATGCTTCATTGTTGTCACTGCAGTACAATAATTGTTTTTAAAATTTTGTATTACTATTGTTAAAATTCATTGCTTCTTTACTTTGCATAGGAAAAGTTATCATCAATGACAAATGTATAACTAATGATGAGTAATGTCTACTTAAGTCTAATAAGTGAATCTCATTAATTAATAATACTGCAATGAGCCTTGGTAATAAATAATAAATTAATAATTATAAAAATTGGACAAATTCAAAAAACATTATGCAGTTTTATATTTATAAAAGAAACACATGTTTTACTTCTTGTTCATATTACTAAAATGTGTTTTAAAAATTTAAATAAGAAAAGAAATATCGCTTTAATTACATTATGTTAATTTTAATAAATAGGTGATATTCATAAAAGCCAATTTTAAGTTGATTATAGAAAATATATATATAGAATTTATCTAAACCTCCATTTTTTTGGTCTTGACCGCACATGTAAAAAAAGCATGCTTATCAGACTCCCACTATCTGACACGCTTGGTGATGTATAGCCGGTGGGTGACAAAAGTAACCACAACCACCTCTCTTTACATAAAAAGAAGTCTCGGCGCGCAGGGACAGAGAGAATGTCCGTCCTAAGATTGGAGATAAACCGCCTACTCTCGGCTGCTGCTTTTTAACGAGAACACCACCGGGTGTTAACTCGACTTGTAGCCAAATAAATTAAAAACTTATCGATTCCATCATTTCTGTGCCGCGCGAGTTACATGCGGCCAGTTTTGTTCACTGCCCCAAAAAAAAATAATGCAAAATGGCACAGCCACTTTTTCGCCGCAGCTGTCAATTAGCCCAACGGAGATCCGCCGGGTGTACGCTTTTTTATATTCAATTATTTAATCCTCCCCGGAATGCTAATCAAGTGCCCCGGCCGAGGCGAATGCGATTCCACGCGAATACTTTATGGTACTTGGGTGCCCTCTCGTCGGCCTTCCTGCTCAAAACACGACACTTGCTCTTAAATTATAATCCCAACAGCACACACAAGCGACGCCGGATTAAATTATTATAAATTTATTCCGCATTCGGCCAACGACGCACATAATCAATTTCCAAATCAAAGACACGACGCTGGTTGAGCTTAAAGACTCGTCTGGTGCTAATTAAATAGCTAGTTGATAGGGACAAAAAAGTAAATATATACAATGAATATAAATTTTAAATTAATTAAGACGCGCGGTTTTATGTCCAGTACATAGATAAAGGGGTACGTGTTTTTAAATATTCAACAGCAATTTTCCACTTGAGCAGAGCACGAATCCATTAAAGTAGGTTATCGAGAACTAGTGTCAAACACGAAATTTCTACCCGCCCTGTCACACCGCGCGCTTGTCGAATTAATTTATATTCGTGTATGTACATATTTACTCAGGAGAAGAAAACCCAACCAACCGTCCGACTGTTGGCCTGCCCGTTAACCAACTCCATAGCTCCGGCGAAAAAGCAGTTTCTAAAAAAACTCAGCGCTTATCTCGGAGCACTTATCACAAACGTGGAGCTTCTTGTTTGGTCGCTGTGTTGCTCAGAATTTATTTATATATTGACACATCAGAAATGACAGCCCTTTTTTATATGAAAGAAGTGCGAGGCAGCAATTTTTAATACAGGAAGCTTTTCGGATTTTTATCACTTCTCAAAGGTGCTGAGAAATCGGAGGAAAACGTCCGTCGTTTTTGTCTGGCAAAGATTACGCGCCGTTTTATCACGGCAGACTCTTGAGAGGTGTCAAACGTGTCAAAATGTTGAGCTTTATTTTCATTATCGCTCCTTGCTGGCTCGATGTTTGACTTTGGAATTATTAGGCAGACGATTTTTTTTCTTCACTCAACTCTCCATTCTTCTGAGAATTATCGACTGACCGGTTTTGAAATTTGTTTTGCCTGCTTGTTAGTTGATCTCATTATCATTCCAGCTACTTTGCATAGTGCATTGACGGCTCGTCTCTTTTTTTTTGCCACCCGGCGTAAAAACGAAAAATCCGAAACGGATCATGCTTGTCTTCGATCGCACAGGTGTGATTTATTTTTTACTCCTTTGCCACACCAAATTATATGTTCGGAAATCTTCAGCAATGACAAACATATCACTTCTTTTTACTCGCGAGTTTCCCATCGGGCACTTTTTTCCCGAAGGCTTGGGATTAGAAGAAAAAAGGCGTGATTTTGTGCTGCTGGAATGGGAACTCAATTTCAAGATGCAGCATAGAGACCATCAAGATCCACCTGCACATCAGATAAAATAAGTCGATCGACGGCAGAGGCTCAACCCTTTCCTTCCCACGGCGAACAAAAAGTGAAGTAATTAGATTAGTTTTTTTCTTTGTACTGCTGGAGAGTGCTGGAGAGGATAAATAACTATTTAAAAAATGGAATTAAAATAAATTAAATTATAGAAATTTCCTTTGAATTTTAAAAGTAAATCAGAATTTAAAAAATTCATATTTCCGTGTTCTTTAAATTAGTAGTTGGAGTAAAAAATACTGTAATATTTAAAAAAAAAAGGATTGTTTAATTTGAATTTTTTTAAATTATGTTTTCTTAAATCATTATAGTTTTTTTTGCTTGCAAAAAAAAAATTAATTTAAATGATTATAACAAGTACAAGTAATTCATTTTTTTTCATCTTCCTGCTTGAAGGATATCCTGAATTTTTGTCGCCATCGAGTTGACTTTTTTGTCGACACGCGCGACTGATTCGGGATTTTCCTTGCCAATGTATTTGTATCGAACGACGAGGCGGCAGTGTCGCCCTGTCAGTTCCGCTGAGCGATTTTTCGGCCATGCGGTGATTGAGCCTCTGGCAGTACCGGCAGCATGTTTAATTATCATCGGAAAAGGGCCTGGCTGGCCGTGCTGCGGCGGCACAGTGACGGTGCATCTTATCGCGGGCCCAACAGAGCGGCACGTCTCTTATCCACACACATTGTGTCGCTAACAACGTGCACTAAAAAGCTGCAGCACCACGGAATCCTTTTCGTCGTGAGACAACTCTTTTTTCCCCCTGGGCCCCTTTCTTTCCGATGGAACACAATTTATTTCAGTTTAAATTAGATTTTGATACATTTTTTCCTCCTTGGGCTACCGCAGCTCGATGAATAGCGCTGGCTGCTCTGGAGTTCTGGACCACAC